CCCCCCCCCCCCCCCCCAGCCCCGTGGCCGGTGCTCCCTGCTGCAACTGCTCACAGCCCACGCGGGAAAGTCCTGAGCAGGGACAGGCAGCCCCAGTCGGGCTGCAAGCAGCTGCAGTGCAGGGCACTGGGCATGGGTGGGTAAGGGGCCGCTTTTCCCCACGGTCAGCTTTTACCCAGGCTCCTTCCCTGCCTGGGGTCCTCCCCGCCCTCCCCCTTACCTCAGTTTCTGGCAGGGGCAGCCACGTGGTCCCAGGCCAGAAGCTCCTGCTGGGAATTTAAGGCTGGGTAGGCCCTGCTGTTGAAGGAGCCCTCCAGAGCTTCCCCTGGGTCCTACTGCCCTTGGTTCCTGTCATTTTTTACAGGAATCAAGGGCAGAAAAAATATTAATTTTCTAAATTTTTTAGGGGCCCTGTAGGCCAGATAGAACAGCTTTGTGGGCCATATCTGGCCCACAGGCTGTATTTTGCCCACCCCGTTCTAGGGGCTAGTCAGAGTTGTGCATACCAGAGAGGGTATTAACTCTTAATGTGTTACTGCTCACAGTACATGCTAACTTTAACACTGTCCAACATTCCTTAGAGTTAGCACAAGTAATTGTAACGTGTAACAACTACACCTGTACAGGCTCCACTCTTCAGTCTAGTAGAAGATGAAAGACACTGCTAGTCCGAAATGTTGCTGATAGACACAGGTTGTCTATCTACAAGACTCGAAGCCATTTTAGGAAGTCATTAAAAAAGAAAAAAAGCAGAAAAAAATTCAGCTGCAATGTCGTAACTGCTTTTTACCTGCTCTACTGTACCAAGGAGTGTTGACAGACACCTTGCTCTGAGCGATTTGCTGCTAACTCAGACTAGATTGCTCTTTAGAAATATCAATGTTTTTGCTGCAATGTTATCCTAAAAAAACTGATCCCAATGGTACAGCAAAGATACCTTTCAATCCTGTGTGCTACTGACGTACAGGGTCTACACAACATAACCTTTTCATATTCCAACTTCAGCACCCTATGACCATGAAAATACCATGAAAAGTACCGTGAAAATCCCTTACAATTTTGATATGGAGTGAAAAATGACTTGATATACTATCTAGTCTGCTGTTAAAGAAGTATAATTGGTAGGATTTGAAAGAATGAATAATGAACTAGTATAGAACATGAAGAAAAACAAGCATTATTGGCTGCACTTTTATGACAGCTCAAAGTAGAAAAATACTGTAGTTCTAAATGATCAATTAAATTAGATGAAGAGGATTTATCTTCTCCTCACACGTGCATTTTTCATTAGGACTTTGGTAATTCCTCCCCTGCCCCTATATAATTTCTGGTACTGTTAATCATCCTATTGCTTTTTTATTAAATAACTTTCCAGAGAATGCTGTATTGGTGAATGTAACTATTTTGAAAGCAATATCTGGTATCACAAGAAAGTATTAAGGGCCAACAGATACACTGTCTCATACTGAATGCCTTACAGTCTCACAGAAGACGATGGGACCGCATGCTGGGTTAACTACAGACCACTGATGTTTTTCAGTTTGCCTCTCAGTAAGTAGCAAGAAAATAAAAATCTTTTTCAGATTATACTTGAACAATTTCATTTTATAGTCAGATGATAAGGAAGTCTAATAAAGGCAAATTCTATATTTGATATCTTAAACTGTGCTTGTAATGATAGAATATTATTTGTACCTTTTTTATTTATACTTTCTTATAATGAGGAAAAATATTTTTACTTAAATATTTCTCCAACCTGACCTGTTTGATCCTGACCGCTACGTAAAGCTATATGAATTGTGTCTGCAATAAGCATCATTATCCTTCAATTCAGCATCAATCATTTTCACATATTTAGATCTACTCTCTAATGCTGTAGTCCAGGGGTCAATAGCCTATAGTCCATGGGCCGGATCCAGGCTGCAAAGGGATTGGATCTGGTCTGCAAAGGTTCAATCTGGACTGCATGTTACTAAGGGTCCACTGATCCCCAGCTGTTAGATCCGGTCCGTATTTTGTTGATGGTGTGCTGGTTGCCTCCAGCTATTCTAAGGCTGCTCTTCTTCACTGAAACCCATATTACCATCACTGGCCAGAGGGAAATACTGGCCCATGGCACCAGCTAGGTGGTAAACTGCAGTCCACGTTAGTAAAAGATTGCTGACTCCTGTCTTAATCCAAATATTAATTTCTGATTGTTTAATATTGTGGAAATGGCTAGAAGCCTCAACTGATATCTCATCGTCATTGTGCAAGCTTCTGTGCACACACACACAAATTCACAGTAAGAAAATTCACAGTACAGGTCACAATCAAAATAGAGAAGATAGACAAAAGGATAGGAGGGGAGGCCCAGAGAATTACACTGCCTTGTCCAAGTCTACACAAACAGGAGTAGAACCCAGG